CTGTACCAATAAATTTGTGTGGGACAGCTATCCTTATTTCCAATAAATTCAGAGGCTTCTCCAAGTAAAAGGCAGAAAGGAATTTTTATTACGATCTCGCGAGAAAGGGCAACCCACACTGAAAAACCTCTCAGTGTCAAGGCGCACTGAACATAGATACAGCAGGTTTTTATAAGGCCCTCCCCAACAGTTCATCTCCCCACCCTCCCCAGCCTTGAAGGTAAATCTTCCCGGAGACAGTGACAAACAAACAGATGTGGTTATCTTGAAATGTTCGAATTCTGCAAATCCCTGCAAAATTCCTGTTCCTGCCCCACCAGGGTCCCCTGCAGACTCGATACAACCATTTGTTCACAGAGTTGGGCAAAAGGCCTGTATTTTGAGTTTAGATTTTATGAGGCGTTTTCACCACATTCCATTCAAAGTGGAAAAGGAAATGGCAAACTACTCCTGTATCTTTGCCAAGAAAATCTCAAATGGGAGAGGCAGCTAGGTGGTGTAGTAGATAGAGTTCTGGCCTTGGAGTCAGGAAGACCTGAGTTCAAATAGGCCTCAGACACTTGACACTTAACTTAGTTGTGTGACCCTGGACAAGTCACTTAACCCCAATGGCCTCACCAAAAAGAAAAAAGAAACTAGGCCATCTCCAATTGCCCTGATCCATATCTGGCTATTGGGCTCACAACCCTCCCTCACTTAAATCCAATTAACATGGCAACCTCTCCCTTAGGTCATGGTCCTCTTCAAAAACAAAGGACAAACAGCAATCTGTGTTTTCTCTTCTGTCTTTAGGTTATGACCTGCATTTGATTCTGAAAAGGGAGGAGCAGCAGGAAAGAAGGGAGGGTCCTTGATCTTTGAATGCCTTGGTTCTCAGCTCTACTAGGGAGGGTTACTAATGTATGAACAAGCCTCAGGTCACTTGAGAACCAGGAATTCACATTCTGAAAGAAGAAGGGGCTTCAGGGTTCTGGGCATATATAAAAGGACTGGGATAAGGCAGACTCAGATTTCCTGTGTGTGCAAGAAGCAGAGAAAAAGACAGAACTCTGAAGTTGAAGAAAACATCTCAGAAAACAAGGAAACATGGCCTCTTCCCCAGAGCTGATTGAAGACCTCCAGAAAGAACTCATCTGCTCCCTCTGCAGGGACTACTTCAGAAACCCAATGTCCATTGAGTGTGGCCACAGTTTTTGCCATAGTTGTCTCAGAAACTGGCAGGAAGCCTCAACCTCTTTCTCCTGTCCAGAGTGCAGGGGTGTCTCTCAGCTAAGGGATTTCAAAGCCAATGTTCGACTTGGGAAACTGGCAGCCATCGCCAAAAAACTAAGACCTCATTGTTTACAGTACCCTGAAGAACATGGCAAGTGTGAGATACATCAGAAAGTGTACAGGTCGTTCTGTGAGGGTGACCAGAGCCCAGTCTGTGTGTCCTGTTCTCATTCCCAGGAGCATGAGGCTCTGTTACATAGATAAGGCGAGAAGCTCCAAGAAGCTGTGACTAATTTGTGGAGGAAAACTGAGAATGTTGTTCAACAAATGGCCAATGACAATATTAAGTTTGCACTGATGGAGGAAGAAATAGAAATTCAAAAGAAGAGTATGTTGTCTGAATTCCAGAAAATGAAACAATTCCTAAGTGAAGAGAAGGATGCATATCTATCATTTGTCCAAACACAGGGGATGGCCATTTTAGAAGACCTGAACAAGAGAATTAGTGGATTGTCCAACCAGGATCAAGAATTAAGGATGAGCACCACAGAGTTAGAAGAGGAGTGTAAGAAACCAGATCTGGATTTGCTCCAGGATATGAAGGGAATCTTAAACAGGAATGCATTTGTGCTGCAAAAGGAAACAGAACGCTTCCGTATATGCATGACTAGCCTTCCCATCTCTGGAGTTATGGAATGGATTTTCAATTTTAAAGTGAACATCAGTCTGGATCGCAACCCAGCTGATCCAGGTTGCATCATATCTGAGGATTTGAAGAGTGTGAAATATGGAGATGTCCAGAAGGAAGCACTTGACAATGATTTGCACAAGTTCTTGGTACTCAGTCCTTTATTTCAGGGAGATATTACTGGGAGGTGGAGGAGCCAAATAACACTATCTGGGTGTTGGCATCTATAAAAAATCAATAGAGTATCAAGACTTCTTTGTGCTTAGGACTATACAGGTACACAATTCCTACCACCTTTATGCCACAGCCCAGCATAATTTTTATTCCCAAGTCTATGTAAAATACCACCAGGTCAGTGTGCCCAACTTAAAGGTGGGAATTTTCCTTGACTATGAACATGGAGAGATATCATTTTATCATGTGAAAAATAAACATCTAACTTATACTTTATCACTTCATTCTCAGGACTCCTCATGCCCTTTTTCTGTCTTTCTAAGTGTAATGCAGAACATTATTTTACCATTTAGGTAGTAGAACCCTTTAGGCCACGGGAAACAGAAGTTGCTGCTTACTCTTGCCCCAGACCTCTTTCCTCCTAAATCTAAACAATAGTGAAATGTACTCTTGCATAGCTCAGGCTCCAGCCCTCAGATCATATCTCTGGAAAACTCCAAATTCCTTAGCAAGGCCCTTATCTGGCTGCTCAGGCTCCAGCCCTCAGATCATATCTCTGGAAACCTCCAAATTCCTTAGCAAGACCCTTATCTGGCTGCTCAGGCCACAGCCCTCAGATCATATCTCTGGAAGCCTCCATTGTGAGAAAGTTTGCAGAGCATTATCGTATCTAGACAGAGGGAGAGGGGTGTCCTTGACCAGCCCCCCAAAAAAAAAAAACTCTTCCTCTTGCCAGACTTCAAAGATCCATCCCCCTCCCTGTCCTGTATACTCCCTATATAAACCCTAGCTCAACCCCTGATGGGGGCTGCTTGATTTGGATGTGAATACCCCTGGCAGCCGCATGCTAATATAATAAAGTCCACAATTTAAAATTAGCCTGGGTCTAACTCGCTAAATTTCTCGGTATAACACAAGAAAGTCCTGAGAAATGATTGCTCTCTTACAATCTGCCCCTAATGGAGAGAAATTGAGAAATACACATTATTGGCCAAATGGACTTCAGACACTATATTACCCCAATTCCTGAGTACTCTGTTGTATGAAAATAATTGTACCTACTTGTCCTGCTACAGAGAATAACTTCTCCTATTTCGTTTTTGTATATGTTTTCTCTAGACCCAGTAGAATGTAAGCTACATCATTCCGGGAATTGTTTCATTATGCTCTTTGTATACCCAGTGCCTTCAATGTTGCTGAGGTTTAATAAATGCTTGTTGAATTGGAAAAAAAAAAAGACAATCTCAAATGGGGTCACGAAGAGACCAAACAACAACAGCAAAGACCATTTTACTCACTACTTAATAAACTCCAGTAGTTCCCTATTACCTTCAGGATCAAATACAAAGTTCTCTGGTGTTTAAAGCCCTTCATCACTTGGATCCTTCCTACCTTTTCAGTCTTCTTGCTTTCCTCTCTTCCACATTAGCCATGTTGGCTGTTCCTTGCTCAGAATATTTCACCTTTATCTCCATGTCTTTGCACTGACTGCCCTCCTGTCAATAATCTCCTTTTTCAACTCTACTTCTTTTCCCTGGCTTTCTTCAAGAATGCTCAAATCCCACTGTCTTCGGAACGGTCTTCTGCTTTTGAATCGGCAGCTTCAAGTGCCGCTAGATGTCCCAGTGAGTAAGACTTTTGGACCTGGCAAGACCTCATCTCAAATCACTGTGTGATGTGGTTTGCTTGGTTCAATCCTTTTCAGTTCTGGGTAGAACTGCTAGCTACAAAAGAAGCCTCTTTTTGCATTCCCAGCTCTTAGCACAGTGCATGGCACTAGGCACTTAAGAAATGTTTATTGATAATAAATGCTTGGCTGAACATTCATTCAAACAAATATATATGCAACCATAAATGACATACTTCTCTACATGTGGGCTTCTTCCCAGAGTCTTTCTCTCCCTTCAGGAAACTTTCCTTGAAGAGAATCTGAAACCCAGAGGCTTTTCTCTCTGAAGTTGGAAGCCAGAAGAAGCAGAATCTGTCCTCTTCCCAAGTTCTTACCAACTCTGTCCCCTAATGTAGGCTCGGAGCAGTCAATAATCAATCTTCACCAATGGAAATTTTATGCAAATGACTTGAGTTCCTGGTCACACTTATTAAAACTAGATGATATAAAATATTTAATGATATTAACTCTGTATTCAAGGAGTTTAAAATGGTCTCTTATACCCAGTATAATAGGGACTACTGTTTCCAGTAAGGGAACAAAGTTATATAGAGATAATGAGTGATTACATTAATTGGAGGGAAAGGGAGATAAACCTCTCCCCCTCCCTCCCCCATATTACTTCCACTTGCTTTCTGAAGCTTATACTTAAAACATCAGCACTTCATTTGGTCTGGAGAGTGGAAGAGATGTTAAAACATTAACAGGTAGGTCCTGCTATAGGTGTCCTTCCTCATCTTGACCCTGCCTCCTCTTCCCGCCCCCGACCCCCCACTCGACCTCCTGGCTCCCCTGGAGTTCTAGAGCATCGCTAAGTCCAGGTAGAGGCTAGGCCAGCAGGTGACCTAAACACATGGGGTGCGGGAGGTGGAGGGATGAGGGATGCTTCTCTCCACCTTCCGAGCTACAGGTAGGGGATGCCAACTACTCGCCCAGGTGAGACTGTTATAAGGCAGCCAGACACTCGGGTCGATGCTGCCCCCTTGTGGCCGTGGCCGGCAACACAGTCCTACCGAGCCCCACCTATTTGCTGAGCCAGAAGAGTCTTGCAAACCCCTACAAGGCTCTAACTGGATCCCATCCCCGGCGCCAGGAGGAAGGAGGAGCAAAGAGAAAACAGGACATGCGCCTGAGACTAAATCTCTCGGATATCCCTAAACACGCCTTGCTTACAATTAGTTCCCAACATCCTTCGCGCCGTTTCTCCATGTCCCACTCTACAGCTTCCAATCTGTTCCCTTGTTTTCCTTTTTAGCCGCAAAGTCTTTACGCGCTTCAACTTTTTTCCTACAACTCCCAGCGGCCTTTGCGCAGGGAGCGCGGTTTCTTTTTTCTTGCTAAGCCTCTTGCCGGATTGGACGAGCCGACTTGGACCGACGGGCCAATCGCCTGGCAGGGCGGAGTGGGCGTGGCTCGCTCCGCTCCTCTCCCAGCCGCGGTGCCCGTGGCTGTTTGTCTAGGGTCTGGCTCCAGGTCTTTGGCCGCCTCGGGAGTTACCATGGTGTCTGTCGCCGGCTGGGGGAGCCCGGGACGGGCGCGGCTCGCGCTTTGCCTGGCGGGGCTCGCGCTCTCCGCTTACGCGCTGCACGTGAAGGCGGAACGCGCCCGGAGCCGGGAGTACCGCGCCTACTGCGACGTGGGCGAGTCCATCAGCTGCTCCCGCGTGTTTTCCTCCCCGTGAGCGCGCGGGGCTGCATCGGGGAGCGGGGTGCATGAAGCACGGAGAGGGGTGCTGGTGGCTTGGGGTGAACGGGAGGAGCCGGGGCCATGCAGGGCGCGGGCCGGGCTACGTTGGCTGTCCAGGGTGGGGTAGGCGAAGCAAGGGGGTTCAGGGCTCGGAGGGGCTCCCCCACCCCGGGACTGTGCCTCATGGCGGGAAGGAAGGGTGGTTGCTGCACCAGAAGGGGTCCTAGGGGGCTTGCATTCCTAGGACTGAGGCTGCGGCCGATCTTGAAAGTGTGACGTGGCTCATCCTCCCTCAGGGGTCATTGGCCTAACGACTGGACCCCAGTGGGAGGGAAAAGCTCAAGGCCTCGACCTCTTAACCCTCTCCAAACCTGGGGATTGAGAGGTGGGGGAGGAGGGGGCGAGGCAGAGAATTGCCTTAGACTTAAGAGTACCCTGGGAGCTATGCTTGGAAGCAAGCCCAGGCCCGAGGGGCCCCCTTCTTTAGCTTGACCCTGGGATCCATTCAAGCATTATTGGACTATCTCCATGTGGCATTTGGGTGGGGAACTTAATCCCTCCGCGGAGCTCATACCACTGAGTCTTGGAGGAAGGAAGGAGGCATGCATTTATTAGGTACCCCTTGTGTGGCAGGTGCTGTGCTAATTACAAATGTTATCTATTTGGTCCTCACCACTTCCTTGGGAGATTGGTGAGGAAACTGAAGCACAAAAGTGACTTGTCCAGGGTCACACAGGAAGTATCTGAGGTGGGATTTGAACTTAGGCCTTCCATCCTCCAGGCCTAGCATTCTATCCATTGCTGCTTTGTCAGAAATCTAGCCTTTGGGGAGGGTTCTGTGTGCATTCCCAAATTGGAGGACCTAACCCCTTCCACAGAAAGGGTAAGCTGGGATGAGACTGGGACCGGTTGCCACCTTTCTCAGCCCGAGTCTCCTTGACTCCTCCCCTCCCCCTTCCTCTACCCTTCAGATGGAGTAAAGGCTTTGGGCTGGTGGAACCCCTCCTGGGCCCTGACAGCATCCTGAACCAGTCCAACAGCATTTCGGTCTTATCTTCTATAGCCAGCAACTCCTTCTGGGTGAGTGGGAAGTCCCTTTGCCCCACAGACTCAGCCCACTTCTTCACAGTGCCCACCCCTTCTCCACAGTCCCTGCCTCTTTCCCCAGAAGCCACACCCATGTTTTCCTAGAATCTTTCTTTATGACCCTAACCCCTCCACTTTCCCCCATTCCCAGTTAGCAGAATGACCCAAGTGACCCTTATGGGCCCAACTCAAGAGTTAGATATGACCTTCCCTACCTCCTTCCCAAGGACTGGTAAAGTAAGATAAAGACCCTTCCCTGCCCTTGAACACTGTGAACAAACTTAAGAAGGGAAGCAGGAAAAAGACTAAAACTGTTGATACAAATGTTTACCAGTAATCAGTATAGATCAGTATCCTGCCTTGCTAGAAGATGATTAAAAGGGGTTGTCAGAGTGGGACTGCTGCAATCTAACAAGGCTTGCTGGACGAAAATGTTCATTCCCCTGCCAATGTCTTCCCCCAGGCTGCTACAGTGCTCCGTGGGCTTCCTCAGTCTTGATGGTCAGCTCCGTTCTTTCTCTTTTGGGCTCACTTTACCTAGCCTGGATCTTGTTTTTTGTGCTGTATGATTTGTGCCTGGTTTGTATCACCACCTATGCCATCAATTTGGGCTTGGCTATACTCAACTACCAGAAGGCCATGGGGCCCTTGGAACTACAGGACCGAAATAAAAAGGGACAATGACTTCAATGACCCTAGTGGGGATCGACAAGCTCTAATTGAACTCTGATCTCACCCAGGAGCCCACACCTCCCGCTACTGAAGTTTGGGTCAAGACTGAAGGATGATGGCAGGATCCTTGCTTACAGTTTAGTCTGTGTTTGACTGTGTTCCATTAACTTTCTGTCCTTGATCTCTTCCCCTTGAATCTCTACCATATCTCCTCTTGCCTTCCACATGCAAAGACCTTCCCCATTCCCCCTTTCCCCACCAAACAGATGAGCTGCTTCCAAGATACCTAGGCAGGCCCCTCCAGATGTCTCTGGAGTCAGTTGCTAATTCCATCCTTCCCCCCAGACTACCACCTGTAGGAGAAGCTGGGATAAAAATTGCTTATCTGTTATGGGGGGGCAGTCTAATTAATACTATTCAATAAAGAAAATGAGAAAGACACATTGCATGGGTATGTGGACTCTTTTTCTGCCTTGTGCCAAGACTAGCCCCATTTCCTTCCCTTGGTAGCTTCAGCATTCAGAGCCATATAGTCCCCACCTTAGGATGCCTGGGGGCTGGTGAGGATGTGAGTCAGCGTTGACACTTTGTTTAGTCCTTTTCCCCACTTTGCAGAGTCATCAAGTCTCCAGGCATTATCAGCCCCAAGCATGGGGAGTAATCCCCCAGAGGTCCTTACCCCATTGCCCTTATGGGGTAGGAAGATTTCTCACCCTGCCTTGGTGAGGAAAGGATCCCCTCCCCAGACAAGAAAAACCATTGGGAATATATTCCATCCTTTGCCCCATGGCTGGGATGATCCCTCTATAGTTTACAGAGCTCTCCAGTAGGGAATATCATTCTCCTTAAAGACTTAAATCGCCCCTTTTAGACTGCAACCTAATTTCATCCCTTAATCTGGTCTATTAGGGCTGGGAAGACAGACTGATAGGGAAATTACAGCATTTGGATTAAGGATAGGGATGGGAATAAGGACAAGACTGGATTTTGTTGGAAGCACCAGAACTAGGAGAATGGTGAAATGCTTATGTTTTGGACGCTTCCCATGGCTGCCCTAGGATCAGACATCTTTTTCGCAGTTTGGGCCACTCAGGCCAACAGATTTTGCTAGGCTAGATTGGAAATGTGATGGAAACTGCTGGGGTGTTGGTCAACCGGACCATAAAGAAGAGGAAAGGAGGAGGCCAATAGGGAACAGAATGAAAGAAGGGAACTGGGATTGAGAAGAGTGAAAATGAGAGAGGGAAAAAAAGCCAGAGGATATGCAATAAGATGCTGGATCAAGGTGTTGGGCAATCTTCTCCAGAATGGGAGGGGAAGGAAATAAGCATTTATTAAGCATCTGCTATGTGCCAGACACTTTATTATCATCTCATTTGCCCCTCAACCATTGGAAAACTGAGGCAAGCAGGTTAAGTGACTTATGAAGAGTGACAGTCGGAGGCTAGATTTAAACTTAGGTCTTCCTGATTCCAGGCCTAGCATTTCATCCAATGTACCACCTAGATAGATGCCTTGAAGGGTCTGGGTCTTATCCCTTGTAAGCAAGAGCTAATCCAAAGACCAGAAAGAGGTAGAGGGAGTACTAAAACCATCGTGGTGAGGAAGGAATATTGCCTGTTATAAATGCTGAATTAAAATTTTGAAGGATGTTGAGATGGAGGCAGTGGAGAATATGACCATTTGATGAGCAAGTGGTTAAAAGCGTGGACTGTGCTCTTTGTTTTCAGAAACACATCAAAAGGGGATGGAGATTTTCCTGGTAAGAGAGCTTGCTGGTGTTAGGGCATAAGATAATGAGACTTGAGCCATCCTGGCTATATTCTTGGGGTAGGGGTCATCTGAGGAAGCAATGTTCCCTTCATAGTTAACAACCCCCAGGGTCAGGCTAGTTTACCCTAACCTGGGATTATGTCAGGGTGGAGGAATTCATTTGGTGAGTGAAGTAGGATGGGGGTGGGACTTGACTGGAGGTGGGGCTCCCCTAGGAAAAGGAGACTTGGTGGCTTCCCCAAGGGCAGCACCAGAGCAGAGCTGGGAGTACCATGAAGTGGAACTGGGGACCAGGATTACTTATATTGGAAGCACTGTTTCTTTCAAGGGGTGAGATATGAAGGGAAGGTAGGAGGGAAAGGACATCAACTGTTCAGGGGAAGAAGGGTGGGCTGTGGGACCCTGGGAGAAACATCTCCAAGGTTGGGTATGTGAACAGCTGGGCTGTTGTAGAGCTCTCTAGCCAAGCACCTCCTGCAGTTTATGGGACCCCTAAGTGGTATGGTGTTGGGCTTTTTGGGGGACCATGAATTTAGGCTGCTTTTGAAAGTTCATTTGTGTGACTGATCACTCAATTATACCTGCCATTCTATAACTGTATATATGTGCCTGTGATCATTTGTGTGAGTCCATGTCTATGCAACCTTGACTGACTCCTTGTGAGACAATCTGTGACTTCACTGATGTGTTAGGTTTATGGTCTTCATAGTTCACTTCACTCTTTCTCTGTGACCAAACATCTGTTTTTCTTTGTGTATCAAGGTGTGGGCATATGTTTTGGGAATGCCATTCTGGGGACTTCTTCCTGGAAGAAGGGGGGGCAAATGGGTTTTTTAGCTCCTGCTAGCCTCCTGTAGCAGATAGATGAACTGGAGACATGGGAGGTAGGATCTCTGGGTTCCTTCTTCCTCCACGTAAAAATGACCAGGATTGCCTTTCTTTTTCCATCCTTAGACCTGTGGGCAACTAGGCTAATGACCCCATCCCTTCCAAAAATCAACTTTGACTCACCTATTGGGAGACAGGATGCCTGGGGTCTAGGAGGGAAATGAGAGGTGGGAAATTGGCCACAGGTTCAGAGTGCTAACTAAGCCCCTGGGATAAGCCTAGGGCCCTCTCCTTGCTTGGATGGCTAAGCACAGAGCTAAGGGAGGAGAAGTAATTACCTCTGAGTTGTCTGACGCTCTGAATCTGTTCCAGTAAAAGCTGCTTCTTGACCTCATAAATATTTTCTTTCTGGGAGGTGGTGGTGATGGAGTCATGGAGTCTCTGAGGGGGAGGAGGTAAGGGGCCTATACCCCTCATTCCAGCTCCTTTCTGGGGACCCAACCTCAGTCCACCATTTTCCTTGACACCAGCAGAACAGACTCACCAGTATCTCTGTCTCTTTTCAGAACTTCATGCAGCTCAACAAGGTAAGATCTAGGAGATCTAAGAGAATGAGGGCCAGAGATGCTTGGGTCTGAGTATGAGGGTGGTAGTGGAACACTATTGTCTAATTTTGAATACAGCCAAGTCTAACTTGGGGGTAATGGTGTCTGAGTGACCTTCCTCTTATGTCTAGCCTGCGGACAGCGTGGTCCTGGCCCTCCCAAACCTCAGGAGGCTGATGCCATGCCAGGAGAATGGCCATGGCAGGCAAGTGTAAGACGACAAGGAGTCCACATCTGCAGCGGCTCCCTGGTCTCGGATACTTGGGTCCTCACAGCTGCCCACTGTTTTGACAGGCGAGTTTGGACAGGCTCACCCATCCACCATGAGGTTGGGACTCCTTTCCTTGACCTAGGTACTAACCATCCTGGCTAAACTTTCATGAGGGCACCCTCTACATAGGACAATTAAAAAAACATAACAAAAAAATCCTTTTTCAGGCTTAGAAATCTTCCTAGGCCAGGAACTTCTAACTACTGTCTTACCCTTGTAGGAACTCTTTGACAGACCCGAGATCCTGGTCAGTGGTACTGGGCTCTCTGCAGCAGGAGGGGATTGGCTTAGGGGCAGAGGAAGTAGGTGTGACCTCTGTCCACATCCCTCAGACATACAGCCACTACACTGAGGGCTCTGACGTGGCCCTCCTCCAGCTGACCCAAAGCCTGCCTCAGTCTCCCGTCTGCCTGCCCCAACCTGGCCACCGTTTCCCTTTTGGAGCCTCCTGCTGGGCCACTGGGTGGGGCCAAGGCACCGAGAGGGGTAAGTGTCACTCCCATGCACTTGTGTGGCTTCCTTGTCTGTCCCTCTAGTACTGTTCCTCAATCCCTTCCCCCAAACCTAGGCACCTAGCCTCTAGCTGCATACCTCCCTCAGCTCCTGGGATCCTCAGGAACCTGCGCCTACGTCTCATAAGCCGCCCCACCTGCAACTGCCTTTACAATCGGCTACATTTGCGGCAGCTCTCCAATCCAGCTCGGCATGGGATGCTGTGTGCCGGGGCCCAGCCTGGAGGTCAAGGTCCCTGCCAGGTATTACTAGAGATGTTAGAGGCCTAGTGGGCAGTAGGGGGGATGGGACTAGGTAGTCACAGAGGAATTGAGATCCTCAGACTAGACACTGGAATTCAGGAAGCAGGGGATTTGTGAGCTAGGCTAGATAGGCAGGTAATAATTTGGGGGAAGGGATGAACACATAAGACACAAGAATGGACTGACAGAACAAGAGAAGTGAATGTGTATAAACAGAAGTCAACAGAAGATGGAAAGATGTGTCAAACTGTGACATCACTAGGCATATTCAGAGGCATCCGAGGGGGTTTGGCAGTCTCCACACCAATATGTCTCGTCTGTTCATTCTAGGGAGATTCTGGGGGCCCAGTGCTATGTGAAGAGCCGGATGGGCGCTGGGTTCAGGTCGGAATCATCAGCTTCTCCTCAAAGTGTGCCCAAGAGGACACCCCAGTGCTGCTGACTGACCTTGCCACCTATGCCCCCTGGTTACAGGCTCAAGCCTCCAGCGCTGCCTTTCTCCACCAGAACTCTGAGGTCTTGGAGAGCAGTGATGAGGACAGCTGCATCTGTACGTGCCAGGGATGCCTGGGTCTGAATTTAGGGGGGAAAGACAGCTAGTACCTTCTCCAGGTTGGAAAACCAATCTGACACAAATGACAGGTCCTACCATTCAGAGTCAGGGAAGCAAGAACTAAAGGCCATGGGGAGAAAGGATAGAACCATCGTTTGTTTCAGCATTAAACGACAACCAAAATAATGTCTGAGGTGGAAGCTACAGTCTTTGGTTAGAATCTAGGGCAACCCAGGCTGGGGAAGGCTCAAAACTCAAAGGGAGCTTAGGAACCATGAACTCAAAACTTCTTGGGGCTGCCAGTAGTTAAGGATTTGGCCCAGGGATTCAAGGTTGTCTTTTTCTTGTAGCCTGTGGTTCACTGAAGGGGAAGGACCCCCATCCTGGCGCTCCTTCCCCATGGCCCTGGGATGCACAACTGAGGCACCTTGGGCAGTTTGTATGTGGAGGGGCCCTGGTGTCTGAGGAAGTGGTGCTGACAGCCGCCCACTGCTTCATTGGGTAAGCCTGCCCCTCAGATCAAAGACTCATGGACTCTAGCCCCTTCATACTCAAGTTCCTATTTTTCCAAATCCTTCACCCATATCTCTTTCCACAGGCGCCAGAGCTTGGAGGAGTGGAGCATAGGGTTGGGTAGGGGTAAGGAGGAAAGAGGGCTTCGCCAACTCACCCTTCATGGTGCTTACACACACCCAGAGGGTGGTCATGATATTGCATTGCTGCTCTTGTCCCAGCCTGTCATCTTTGGTCCCAGTCTTCGGCCCCTCTGTCTGCCCTATGCCTCCCATCATCTGCCTGAAGGGGCACGGGGTTGGGCACAGGGGAGAGCCCAAAAGGGAACAGGTAGGTGGAAATGGGACCTGGAACCTATTTAGAGAAGAGATGGGTATGACCCTTGTACCCAGGCTGGAATTAGGGAACCCAATGCAACACAAGCACTTTGGGGAATCTGGGAGCATAAAGTAAAATTAAAAACAGAAACCAAAAAACCCAACTAGGACCTGGGAGTCTCCTCTCTTCACAGATCTTCGCTCCTCCCTGGCAGTTCCTGTGACTCTCCTTGGCCCCAGAGCCTGCAGCAGACTCATGCTGCTCCTGGGGGTGAGGGTGTCCCCATCCTTCCAGAGATGCTCTGTGGCAGTGCTGTGGGGGAACCTCTCCAGTGTGAGGTGAGGGTGCTTCAGGTAACCCTGAAACCACATTCAAAACTAGGACTCCCATCTTTTATGTTTCAGGCTCTATTTCCTCAGGGAGGCTAAGGAGGGTTCAAAGGCAGCTTTCAACCTTTAGTTCTTATGCCTAATGTCTCCCAATAACAACTTCACACCAAATAGCTCCTAACCCAACAAGTCAACACCTGTTAACATCTATCCCCAACTTCAAACCAACATCCTCTAGCCTGGGACTACCCAATTTCTTATTATGGATACCATAAGGGTAAGATTGGGGGGCGGTTAACAAAAGTCTCCACAGAAATGGCACAGAAGCAGAGTCCTAGTACTGGAGCCACTCCTCGAGTACACCATTCAAGGAGACCTCAGACTTTCTGACAGATCTCGGCTCAGAAAGGTGCTTGCACTGAAAAGACAAGGGTCATTACAACTAGAACTTCATCAACCTCCACCAAAAGCAAAGTATTCTAGAAAGGTCTACCCTTTCCATCCAAATCTTTTTCAACACTGTTCTCCAGCTACTTAGATTTTAACTGGCAAATGTTGCGGGGCAGGGAGCACATAGCTGTGCTTTGCCACAGGCGCCGAGTCTTTAGAAAGCTTGGTAGTAAAGGGTGATGGGTTTTTTCTCCCCTTGCCAGGGCTTGTCAGGATCACCACTGGTGCATGATGTGATGGGCACATGGTTCCTGGCAGGGCTGCACAGCTTCAGTGACGCCTGTAGGGGCCCAGTCCAACCTGGGGTCTTTACTGCACTTCCTGCCTATGAGGACTGGATCAGCAGCCTTAAATGGCAGGTCTATTTTGCTGAAAAACCTGAACCTGATCAAGAGAGCTGCCCTGCTAACCTAAGTATGAAACCCAGCAAGCCACCCCTACTTTTCAATTATCTTATTAGCCCTTCCCTATTCAAACCCTGGCTTTACTCTCCTTCAAAGACTCAGGAGTCTCTTCCCAACCTCTTGCACTGCTCTCTTATCCCTTTGTCCCCAGGGTCTAGGAAAATTGTTCTTTCAATTCTTGCCTTTACTCCCAAGGAAACTGATCTTACAGTTTTGTCAACTGAAAATTTCTTATTTCCTTCCCTCTACCCCCATTTTCCCCTCAGGAGGTGGTCCTTCTAGCTGGTGACTGAGCTTCTCTAAGATGCCTACATCATACAAGGACAGTCCAGAGGTAACTCCCAATTCATTTTCCACCACATGACCCCTGTTCTCTTTCCCTACACCTCATGCTTTTTCTGATTATAGGTGCCAAGGGACTTCAGATGTGATGGTCTTGGAGAGAGATCAGGCCATTCACTCCCGCTTCACAAGGACAGACCAGTGTCTTGTATGCCTGGCTCTGCAGGAATGCAGGAACCCAGCTGGACCTGGGAAGAAATGTGAGCACCACAGAGCCAGGAAGAGGCAGAAGAGAAAACCACTCCACGCCTCCAGTAATCCCTTGCAGGACAGGGAGATTTCAGCAGAATCTTCCCAGAATCTCTTGTTGGTCCACCCCCCCAAACCCAACCCAAACTGTGCATGTTCCACCACACAGGAAAAGCCCCCCAGTGAAGAGATTTCTCCCTTCTCCACATGCCAGACACACAATACATATTACAGCAGTCAACTTTTTTCTTAAAATTTCCTTTTTTTTTGGAGCAAATTTTCCCTTTTTTAAAACTTAAATAAAACCTTACAAAATAGACTTTAGAAAATAAGTTACAAATTGTAGCAAAAGGCTTTTCCCCCAAGGGAGAAATCTCATTCCCTTCTCCCTCTTTGGGAGTCTAGATATCTCCCTTGAACCTATGCTTTCCCTCCCCTTCATTCTTAAGACTCCAAGGTTCCTCTGTCTTATATCCCTCTTTCTATGACCACACAGTAGATCTAGGGTCCTTGATGCTGAGGAAGAGAGGGGGGAAAAAAGAACTCAGTACAGCTCTAATCCTTTCCTAAAAACTGGACAACCAGCATCCTAGAAAATTAGCCCCATACAGCAGAAAATGGGAGCCAAAGAGAAATGGCAAAAGGGCAGAAACATCTTCTCCAGGGTTGGGATTTTCCCCCACATCCTGGATCTTTCATTGGAAGGAAGGGGAAGAAAGCATCTCTAACCGTATTCTATCCTGCCAAGTTTCCTGAGTCCTTCCCAAGAGGATGACAGGAGAGATCAAGATATCCAAACTCTCCTGAGTTAAATGCAGAAATAAGAAGCCTGATGTCCCAGTCTTTGGGAGAAACAGTTCAGAGGGAGAAGCCGAGGTCTGGAGGCCACTGGAGTGAAGGATCTAGGACCAGAATCACAGGGGTAGATGGAGGGGAGATGAGAGATCCCCACCTCCTGCTGTAGGTGACTCTGTGTCTCCTGAGGGAAGAAAGAGAGAAAAACATAAAGTCACTGGCTGAGTGTATATACTTACACAATTAAATAGAACTTTAAATCCTCAAGTGTCTAAACCTCAGCCAAATGTTAGATTTTCTGTTGTTTTGTGAAACTAGGAATCTAACTTTCACTTCTTTTCTAAGATCCAGATATTATGTTCTTCCAATTTTCTTAAGGTCAAAAAGCTTTTGCTCCTGAAAGGATCATCTTCCTGAATGTCTCCATCTTTCTTTTCTGTCATTTTTCCTTTTAAGAATCTCCCCACCTTCCTAAGAACCACTCTAATTTGAGGGGTCAGTTTGCCATGGATGCCCTGGCCTGTAAAAAGGGGATAGAGTCTGAGGTGGCTCAGCTGAGATGTGGTGAGAAGGATACTTGGACTTGACATGGAACATGCTTCATCAAAACAAGAGAAAGTAGATGAGAAAAGAACTAGATCTTTGGGAAATTTAAAAAAGCAGGCTGGAAAAACAAACTGCCAAACTATCCCTGCCTCAGTTTCCCCTCTGGTATAAGAAGAGAAGGCTCATTCTAGAGCCACAATGTATATAGACTCCATTCCTGCTTCCGTTTTCTCTGTGGCAAACTGAAAAGGCTCATCCTATAAGCCATGGTGGGTGGAGGTACTTTATACTTTGATCCCCTTTGATAGAAGATGCAAAATGGGGGCTAATTATTGTTATTGCTTCAGCCAGGGCTTCAAAGAACCAATTAACTGTGACTCAGCCCTGGAGCAAGAGGCAAGCTTGGGATTCAGAGGGAGGGAGAAGGATGACTGGGACCTGGAAAGAAATGACAGACTTAGAGAAAAACTAAACCAAAGAAAAAAGGATGCCTATATTTTAAGAGAGCTGCAGGTTCTAAGGGAAAGGAATAAGTAACAAGCTGCTGAGGTGACAAGGGAATTGAGGGCAAAAAATATGGCAAAACAGCCAAGGACTGTGAAGTAGAGGGATTAAAATGGTGTGGAAAGGTGGGAGTCCAGGTTCTCCTAGGCTACAGGAGGGAAGTAAGATATAGACATAAGGAGAGAAACATAAGTGCAATATAAGTGACCCAGCTCGATCAGCAGTCTAAACATGCTGTCTAAACAGTGGGGAACTGACACTTCTTCACTTATTCCTTTTCTTGCTGCCTGCTCTTCGAATGGGTAACAATTTTGGAATTTTCAAAAGTAAAAAGGTACATATGTTGATTTAGTCTATTTCCTTGCCAAGCAGGAAGAGATTCCAGATTTGGTTAACTAAGGGGTACAGAGCTGACTTCTCAAAAGAAAAAAAAAAAGAAAGAAAATTTCCAACAGCAAAAGGAACAGATAGGTCAATTCCAGCTGTGTCCTTATTTATAGCCACTCTGACCAGCCTCTTTTCTGAGCTCAAAGAATTCTCTAAACCTGCTCTTCAATCCCCTCATAGCTCCTCTATCTATCCTGCCCCAGGCCTTCCACCAAACTGCATCACACATTACCCTACTAGAACTCAGATAATTGGGCCCCCAGACCTTGACTCACCCCTCCACCTAATTCCTCTGCACCCCCAGAATGCAAGGATTTCACAGGTCCTCTTTCTTTCCTATGCCCAAGCATCTTAAATTTCTGAACACCACTCATAACCTAAGCGTGTTGCTCCTCCCTTCCTTGTTCTCTCCCCACTTTAGGATTCTGACTTTCAAAGTCCCATCCCACTTTGCCTCCCAATACTCTTCATTTTTCTTCATAAGACTACCTCCCTTCTACCCCCCAACTCACGTCCTCATACCAGTGCCAGTCATTGTCCACTCCTCCTTGTGTTGTTGCTGGTGCTGCAAGAAGCTGATTTGGCGACGGAAGCGGCGAGGGCAATGTGAGCACGAGAAGGGGCCTTCTCGAGGTGCATGGACCCTCCTATGGCCTTCCAGTCGGGCTGCTGTCCGAAAGGCTTTGCCACATACTCCACAGCGATGGCGCTTAGGATCTGTGTGTGTCCTTCCATGATTCTTGAGGGCCAACAGGTTAGGCAGTAGCTTGGGACAGAGGGAGCAAGGATAAAGACCTGTGGCATGGGCTTTTTGGTGGTTCAACAGGCTGCCAGCATGACGATAAGAGCGCCCGCACTGGGTACAACAGAAGGGACGATCTTCTTCTGTGGCTTGTTTTAGCCCCACTTCTTTTACCTCCTTCACAGCTGTCTCAGACCCTGACATTTCTTTGGTGGCTCTGTGGGTCTCCCCTTGCCCTGACATTTGCTCATCTTCCATATCCCTTTTAGTCTCAACCTCTTGCCCATCAGCTTCCTCCATTTGAGGTGGGGTCTGGCCTTGACCCAAATCATGGGCTCGCTGATGGCTGGTCAGCTCACGGGAGGCACGGAAAGCTTTTCCACAGTGAGGGCACTTGAAGCGACGGGTTGCTGTGTGAATGCGACCATGGTTTTTGGCAGCCATGGGATTTGAAAATTCTTTAGAGCAGAGCTGACAGTGGTAACGGCCTGTTTTGTGGGTATTGCGGTGGTTTAGAAGACTGCCTGCATGCCGGTAGGTTTTGCCACACTGTCCACAGCAGAAAGGGCGGAGTTCTAGCTGGGATTGAGAACCGCTATCTTGGTCCTGGGTCTGCCCACTATCCCAGCCTTCTAAGCTACTTAGATCCGGTTCACTAGGTTGACTATCTTCCTGACTGCATGGACTCCCAAACCCATAGTCACTGGAGCTAGTGTGTTTTTGGCTACCTGGTTTGCCCACTGGTGTCTCATTAATATGCCACCCATCTGTTTTCCCAGTGATCCAGGACAATGGCTCTCTATTGCTTTCCTGACCTCCTGATAACCCACTGGAGCCCTGACCTAATTCTTCTGTGCCTTTAGCTTGGGTATTAACCTGAGCTCCAAGTTCATACTCACATGATCTTCCTTCTAATTCACTGATATCTGCTTGACTCTCATCTCGAATGACAGTTGTTTGGCTGAGGACTTTAATTACATCTAGCTCCCTCTTAGTCGCTTCTTCATGTTCCCTTAGGTGCCTTTCTAGAGATGCCCGTCTAGGGAAACTGCGGCTACAAAGGGCACAGCGTACAGTTATCCGAGGTCCACCCCCACGCCTTGCCCTTCCTGTCCGTCGCCTCCGGCTCTCTGAGTGTAGGCGCTGGTGGTTCTTTAGTGCCATACGGTTTGAATAGGTTTTAGGGCAAGCTGGACAGCTGTATTGCCCTATCTCATGACTCCGTCGATGGTTCAGGAGGCTCCCAGCATGCCGATAAGTCCTCCCACACTGCCCACAACGGAAAGGTCGTTCATCTCGTGGTAGTGACGGTGATTTTGGCAGCAGTTTTCGAGCTCCTCCAGGATTGCCATTTCGAGGCTCCCCATGGACATGCTGATGGTTAGCCAGCTGTTTTCGCAACCGAAAGGCTTTACCACATTCTCCACAATGGAAACGACGGGGTTCAGCATGAATACGTCGGTGGTTCTTGAGAGCCATGAGATTAGAGAAACCCTTGGAGCAGGCCTGGCAGCCAAAGTGTCCTGTTTGATGGCTCTGTCGATGGTTGATGAGGCTACCAGCATGTTTATATGTCCGACCACACAATTCACAGCCAAAGGGACGATCCATACTGGCCTCTTTCTCTGAATTCCCCTCTTCTATGCCACTGTCTTTTAGTGGCACTTCCTCCTCCTTCACAGTGGTCTCCTCTGGCTCTTTCTTTATGGGTATTTCTTCTACTGCCTTCTCTTTAAGCTCTTTCTGCACTTCTTCTGATGTCATCTGCAGTGGCCCTACCTCTGCTGCCTTCCGTGTTTCCTTGCTTTCTACCGTAGGGATGACCCCTAACTGGGGTTCTGCCCCTTTGCAACGGGGATGATTACGTAAGTGATTTCGGTAAGCAGCCAAGTTGGGATATCTTCGGGCACAGATGGGACAGGCAAAGTCTCCTGTCTGATGAATCTTACGGTGGTTCACCAGGCTCCCACCATGGCGATAGGTTTTGCCACACTGA